CCACACACACTCACATACACTAGCTAACCCTGTTATTTACCTTCCTTTATCGTCTCTTCCGCGCCTATGACAGAGCAAACAGTTGCAGTAACATACCATGGACGACAACTCCATCAAAGGGATTTGTCTCTCTCTCTTCTTCCTGGACACAATGTTCTTCGGTTGCCTCCCCTATCTCCTCGTGGGCAAAAGCGGGAGCGCTGTCTCTCCCCGCTCCGCTCGGATTCGAACTACTATCACCTCGTACTTGAACTGTTTTGCTGGTGGAGTCTTCCTCGGTGCTTGTCTTCTGCATCTCATGGTGGAAGGACGTGAGACGCTGGATGAGTACTTTGCGCTGGTTTGTAGAATGAGTGTATTTTTTTAAAATTTTGAGTCATGCTCGCCAGTTTTAGGGGGCTTGTAGAGTTATTGGTATCATCTTAAAGGTTGTTGATTTGCCTCACAAAATAATGAAATCCGAGAAATCGGCATTTTCTGCCAGTTTGGATTTTTTTTCACTTTTTTTGGGGGGCTCAACGCCTCGTATGCCCATTCAAAAAACCCTCTTATGTGTGGATTTTACCGAAAAACGTTGAGTAAAGGCACAGAAAACGTACATTTTCAGTTTGCAAGGAGTCTTAAGCTATGGAAGTCATCAAACTTTGGCTGCCATTATCTCGCTGATTTTACTTCTGAAACTAGGCGACCCCCACCTCCTTCAACCACAAATATCTCAACTTCTATTCAAAATAAATTGATATTTTTTTCATCGAAAGCAAGGCATGTGAACAATTTTTCAGATGACATCAATAACTCTAAATTCCCCAAAAATTGGCGAGCGCCTGATTCCACTGAGTCGTGACACATGTAGATCACGAAGAAGGGGGACTGCTCCTGTCCTTACTGCCCTGGCTGGATAATTAATTCGGACTAAGTGGAATACAGCAACACTGCAGCATGACGGGTACGCTCCTCAGAATACAAGCACGCACTTTTAAAAACAGGAATCGAACTCAATGCTTTTGTGTGCATCGGCTAAGAGACTCATAATAATACCAGTTTGAACTAGTATTTAGTTTGCTTAGTGAACAAGTTAAGTGATGTTGACCTCTCCCTTGTGCCACCCCCCCCCCCCCCCCCGAAAAACCACCGCCTTTTTAAACAACCCCTCTCCCCTCCCCCTCCCCCTGCCCGAATAAAAAAGTATGGCTTTTTTAAGTTGTGTGTGCAAACGTAGTAGTGATTTCTTCCGTTATTTTGAATAAGTCAAGTGATCTTGACCTTTCCCCTGTGCTCACAACAACATCACCACCTTTTTTAAAAACCACCCCTTCGCCCTTCCCAATCCCATTGTTTGAAAAATGTTATAAGAGATTGGCAATTTTAGTTAGTGTAAAAGTAGTGAGGATTTCTTTAGTCATTTTGCTACCCAAATCAGAAAGGACTGGCCCCCCATAAGTCTTGTTACAACAATTTTGACATGTAATGAGGCGTGCTGACAAAATTAGTTACTTCTCACAATCTACAAAATGGAGATATTGGTCAAAAATGGATACTAGGGTCAAATTTGTAGATTTTTCTTTTTATGCCATAATCTTTAGGCAAAACATGCCTTTTATGAATTAATACTTTTAACTTGAGGGTGCGGTGGTTAGTGCGCTCGTCTCCGAAGTGGAAAGTCCGGGTTTGAGCCTCGGTTCGGGCACGGATTTTTGTCACCACATCCTACCCACCCAGCAGTAATGGGTACCTGACTTCGAGTTTTGGAAATAAATGCCGCGTGGAAAGGAACTGGCCACCTTACCACATTATGCTGAAGGCCCAGGAAGTTGTCTCACTAACAAGGCAATCCCCAATGTCCGAATCGGATGCGGGAACAACTTTGCTTTTTACTTATAACTTGTTAAATCTTCACCTGTTAGCGTGCTGTATCCATACCCAAAGGGTTTGAATCCGAGCAGTAACTAACTTTGTCCGCACACCTCTCTGTTCAGGCAAACAAGGATGTTGACTTCCCCGTGTACGAGTGTGTGGCTGCAGCCGGCTTCTTCCTCATAGCTCTCATCGAGCAGCTGGCTCACAAGTGTTTGGAGCACGCGGACACTGACCTCCACCAAGATGTGTCCATTATTGAAAAGTGAGTTTTCCCGTACTGCCACTATAATTATTTAATCAACCAAAATTTTTTTTTTTACTTGTAATTTTATCCGCATCCAATCAAAATTGTGTTGCATAAACGTCTCTTACAGGAACCAAAGTTGAAAAATTCATAAATGAAGATTACAGATGTATTCTACAAACCATACTGAAAATATTGGTATATAATATGTTGATATTTATTTGAATTTGTAGCCTCAAATACCTTTTAACTGCCCACTAGTCATCATCTCATTCGCCCTCCCGAAAAAAAATTCGTCCACAAGCCGAAAATAATACGTAGCGAATGAGTTAAGATGGCCATGCAAATCTCTCATCACCCTACCTACGCTTTGTCCTAAATTAGCCTACATATCGCCCCCTGGTGTTGCGGACAAGTTGCCATAATCCATTGGCCTGTTGTTATTGTTAGTTCCTCCACTTCTAATACCAGTGCCCGTCCCCACCCCCAAGGCCAGTGCTACTGCACGAAGTGTGTTTAGGCCATTCCCAAAAAGGGGGGGGGGGATATTAACATGTTTTTGTGCACAGAAGAATTGTAAATTGACTGATTTATCAATGTAATGCTCATACTGTGCCGGAACAACATAGGGGGAACTGCTGCTTTTTCTTTCCTCATCCTTACTCTATCGTCATTTTCCTCTACTTTTTTTGTATGTTTGTCACACTCTTGTGAACTACTATTTCCTGGGTGTCTTGATAGTCGAAGCAGACTTTGGCTATTGACGCTAGAGAGGTGAGCAGAGTACGCCTGATTCCCTGTTTGGACTTCTCTGTTGACATCCGCCCCTTGGCGCTCATTTAACCTGATGCAGTTGCGAGCGCCGTAAATCGTTACAAAACAACATACCACTGTCCATTGGGGGTTCGGTTCTCTAATACAATCCGATCGCCCGACTCGCAGCCTTGAAAACAAACGTGTTTGTTCTGAGGGTCACCGTCGGTGCGTCGGCTTCGTTCGTTTTGTGCCACGATGATCGGTTTGTGCCACAATGGTCGCTTTTCGCGCACAATCTGACTAGTCCCGTCTACCAAACCAAACCGAGCCGATCGTACCAATGGGCCCTAGGTATAATGAATGAATCAAATGGTCACTTTAAAGCACAGGGGCTATCCCGAAAAACGCTGTTTTGAGAAAATTGAAGATAAAGTTTTTGGACCCTTGTTCAATTTCTTTAAAAGACAAGGAGAGTTTTCTCTATAACCCAACAAAATTAAAATACACACCAATGAAACCAAACTTCTCCTATAGGTTGGGCAACGCCACTTTTCGTGTAGGTCAAGATTTCTGGAAACTCCTGAAATCTGGGAAATCCCGCTTGTCCTTAAAAGCAACCGATTATGCTTTGAAGGTCCCTCAGACTATTTAACCAAAGTTGGCCTGTCTATAACAAATCTTCAGCTGCTGACGAGTGAGCCGTGTGAGAAGCAGTCGCTCTTTTCATATCCAATGGGCATCAACATGAACTAACGACAGAAATGCAGCTTGTGTTTCCCTGAATGGTGGCGCTCAATTTGTTTGTTTTACCATGGCACTCTGTCTTCTTCTCCTGACACATTTCGTTTTGTTTTATCAATGCACAAAAACAGCTACAAAGTTTTAAAAAACGAAAAAAACTAACAACAGCCACAAACCACCCCACCAACCCTTTTTCTGAAAGAAAAACAAAACAAAACTTTAGAGTACAACTTTCTTATATATGTATTGTTTCTTCAAAGAAATTGCACACAGCAAGACAGTCTCAGTCAGGACAGTGGCGTCTGTGGTCTAGTGGTTAGGCTACCGGACTCGTAAAAGTGAGATTGCTGATTTGAGGTTCGAGCCTCAGATGGGTCCGACATTGTGTGCTTGGAAAAGGCACTTTCCTTTTTGGCTGGGTCCTTTCGGAGTTCGGAGGTGGAACGTTTTTATGTCGGAGGCTCCACCTCTTAAATAACCTAACAGTGTAGATAAGGCCGTTTAACCCTCTCCGTACGCTCTGGGGTCATTCTGTACCCCCGGGGTTGTATTCTTCACATTTTAGAATACTTTTAGTACGAAGATCTCTTTGAAACTTTCAGTATTTCTCAAAAAAAATCATTTTGTCAAACTGTTATGCAAAGCATACGGATCGGATTAACGAGTAAATTTCCTCTTTGGAATGTGGTGGCGCAGAGTTCCCCTCGTCGTATGGATACAATAGTAAAACATGACGTACGAATTGGGTTAAATAATCTAAGTGTTGATAGGGTCTTTTAACACTTTTATCTATTCCATTTCGCATTTTTTTTCCTCAGTCAGGGCGGGATCCAGTTATCGCAGCTTTCGGCAACAAACGGTGGTCACGTGAACACACTCAGCTACATTTCCACTGAGTCGGACAACATCATACTCAACAACAACGGTGCTGAAAACGGCTCAGCGGCTGATAGACAAGGTGTGAGGGACGGGACACAAGTGAATCCTCTAAAAACAGAAAGTGACGCAAATTCCACCTCCAGGGGTCCGCAAGCTGTGCACGTTCCGACAAGTTTCAATGACGACTTGGAAAAGAAAAGTGAGTTTCCACTG